TTTTTTTTTTTTTTTTTTTTTTTCTCTCTCTCTTTCTCTCTCTCTCTCTCTCTTTCTCTCTCTCTCTGGGGACGTTGCGTCACTTCAGGAGTGCGGGTTCTGACATAACCAAGACCTTGACGATTATCGGAACTTTTCGTTGAATGGTAGCTAACACATACGAGATGGCGGATCTACCGTCCGTGATTGACCTGTTCGGACGGGAACTCCGACTCATGGATTACCCATGGAGGATAACCCGCGCCTCGATACTTGCGTTCATCCGAAACTGCAGGGACGCGGACATCCGAAATAAATTCCAGGAGTACCTGGAAAAGCAAGAAGCACCAAATCGACGGATATAAAACTGAAAGTTTGGAATAACATACGTCAAGAAATTCACACAACTCGGGATATAAAGCTAAAATCACAAATCGAAAAATCAAAAATAAAAAATCAACAATCTAATTTTGCACGGAATGAAAATAAATTTTCAGGGCCGAAAAAGAAACATACACGACGTAGTACTCCGGAATATCACGGAATTTGGACGGGAACTCCGACTCATGGATTACCCATTGAGGATAACCCGCGCCGTGATACTTGTGTTCATCCGAAACTGCAGGGACGCGGACGTCCGAAATAAATTCCAGGAGTACTTGGAAAAGCAAGAAGCACCAAATCGACGGATATAAAACTGAAAGTCCGGAATAACATACGTCAAGAAATCCACACGACTCGGAATATAAAGCTAAAATAAAAAATTGAAAAATCAAAAATAAAAAATCAACAATTTAATTTTGCACGGAATGAAAATAAATTTTCAGGGCCAAAAAAGAAACATACACGACGTAGTACTCCGGAATATCACGGAATTTCTGCAGATATAACGACGTAACAGTGTTGCTCACATTTTCAAACATACGAAACAGATAGAAGATAAAATACCTAAAGCAGTAGAAACGAACCAATAAAGTACCCACCTGGAAATGAAGGAAAATTCACCGTCATGAAAGTAAACAAGAACAGAACAACAAACAAGGCTAGATTCGAGTCAATATAAAAAAACAGTGGAGTTATAGGCAAGTACCACAGTAAGACGGAACTCCGACAGAGAGGAGAGTACATGAGTAACACACACAGAATCATTAGATATGATGAAAGTAGCTCCAGATTGAAGGCATGTTGGAAATCAACGACGACAAGGACGACACAAAGAGCGACTGAGAACGAAGGGTATAAATACTGAGGATAGTGGCTGAAATGATTACCTGAGCAGTGAGGTAGAAGGGTAATCGTGACTGGTGTCGCATGCCATGGACATTACGTGTATGTTGTGAAAGTAAAACCTCGCACGTTCTGTCTACATTTGCATGTGTATGCTGTGAAAGTAAAACCTCGCACGTTCTGTGTACATTTGCATGTGTTTATCTCTATGCACGGTGCTTAGAACTTGCGGGCGGTACCCACGATGATTGGCACTGTATAGACCTGTCACTCTTCCATTTTACATTCACTATCTTTATCTCTCTCTCATCATTCGTAACCCTTTTCTTTCATGATATCATTGTGGCGATTTGTTGGAGATTGCTATAGCATGGAGATTACTCAACGATTTTTGGAGATTCTATTTTACGTATCTGGTGTGTACTGAAGACGATCAACGACGCTGTGGGGTTTTGTATCGATTTCAAGTACGAAGACTACCTACCTGACGTTCCCAAGCTTCAAGGAAGATGTCGCGTTTGCGATCATCGTCGGACAGGAGGCGGCGCAGACACTCATCATCATCTTCTGGATCTCAAGGGAGGAAGCGCTCAAGAAGGGGGAGATCGAAAACTCTGAGAGATAGAAGACATAAGTCAAGATCAGCATCGTCACGGAGAAGAAGAGCGGAGTCAGAATCTCCAAGGTGGTTTTCGATACCATTGTGGGAGCAAAGACGGAATGATTTCCCCCCACCGGGAAATCGAGCGTGGTTTACGGCGGATCTAAAGGAAGAAATTTTTAAGCTCCGTCGGGAGATGGACAAAGTTCTCAAGACACTGGAGCAACTCACACGAAAGACAAGTGAAAAGCAACCAGCTCCTCCGAACAAGAAAGATACCGCAAAGAAGCCTGAGCTAACTCCGGACGTGCTCAAGTTCATCATTGATGAAGCACTGAAGCCGACAGAGATGAACCAAGGGGGACAGAATCAAGTTGGTCCAAGCGCAACCGGTCAGAAGAATGCAGAGGCGGAAGATAAAGTAGAAAGGATGGTATCGGAAGTGCAGAACGAGGTCAACAACCTGAAGCTACTAAAGTATGATCTGGCGGTTGTGAAGGGCGCGTTGCAAAAGATCAATGAACCGACTCGTACCTGCACTTCGATCGTGTCGT